GCTCACAAAGGGATGAACGGCGCTCATTTAACCGGAGTTCACGTTCGACATCGCGCCGTCTTCGCGGTCTCCCTCTGACTGCCTTTGAGCTTTACCTGCAGGCGAGATATATAAATATATATTTTCGCTTGTATCGTTCGTTGCAAGTCTCGCAAGAGTCAAAACTTTTAAAGAGCACCTTGTAAAGAGCTAATCGTCTACACGGCAAAAAGAGCTCTGCCAAGGCTTCAACATTTGTCACCTGCGAAATCAATAAAAGACAAAAATCATATTAGCTAAAAGGAGAGTTGACAGTCATAGAAATTTGGATTATGGTTTGTCACCTGGGAAATCAATATATGGTCTGGGATGTCTTTCACGGCAAAAGTGTACAAATTGTCTTTCAAAGTCACCAGACGAATATGTCATCAAATCCGGACAAGCACAAATAAAAACACATGCCAGAAATCATCGTTATTTGTTTCTTACGTTTGACCTTGTGAAATCATGACTTGGTGTAGGATGTTATTAAAGCAAAGAAGGAAACGTTTGTCTGTGAAGTGGAAAAAAAAAGAATCGAAAAAGCTGTTTCATTTGTGACCATTTGCACAACCTTGGTCAGACATTCCGGCTTTGGAGGCTTTACGCACCAAAAAATTGAAAAAAAAAAAAAAAAAGGCAAGAAAGAATTTCCAAGTTTAATACCTTAGGATATTGACTTTTGTTGTTGTAAAGACTCCGGAGAAGTCGGAAATTGAAAATTGGCTTCAACATTAAAAAAACAAACAAACACAGCTGACATCGGAAAATGTTTATTGGCTTTGTGATGAGTCAATTTGATTTAACAACCTCATTTTTTTTTTTTCGGGGCGTCCTCGATCGAATTTTGGGTTTCATTTTCGCACAATCATTGACATAGAAATGCACTTTATCTCCAAACCGATTTTTTATGGAGTACAGTTGTGCGTTAAAATCAAAATCAATAATAACCAGAGGCCGCAGATAAGGAGACTTGTGATGCTGCATTACAGACAACAATTGGAGATGGCCCATTGTCCGCTCCTCGGAGTTGCTGCTCCAATAAATCGATACGCCCGACTTAGGAGAACAGGAGTGGTTATCTGACATATAGCGCAACAAATGCACAGTTCGTGGAGACACACCCTCACAGACTTTTCCAGTCTTTTAGTCCAAAGTCTTTCCCCACCTTCATCGAGTCGAGGCACATAAACACTTCTTTTACATTCCAACAATCTCAAGGGACCCTATTGAGCCACGATGTGAGGAAAAAAAGTACTTCCACCTGATAAAATAATGATGATCTTGTCTCAGTCCACTCACAAATGTGCTGAGTCAGCAGGAATTCTGGGTTTTCTTTTTTTTTTTTTTGTAAACACAAAGCTTGTTCACTGTTTTATGAATGGAGACATGTGAATTCACCGGTGAAATGTACCTTCTGCCATTGAGTGGAGTATATATGATATTTAGATTTGCTACCTGTCATTATACGTCGCCGGCATAGATAGGTAAAGATAGATAATCCGGTTAAAGTACATTTATCCCCAAGTAAGAACTCCCAGACCTGAGGCAGCAATGCCAAGTTCCTGACTTCCCATTTTCCGTCCCGGTAAATTCCAAAAAGTGATGCGAATTTGTCCCCACCCCCACCCTCCACCTTACTTGGGACATAGTGTAAAGTTACAGAACGGACTTCAGATATGGCACCGTGCGTTTGAAACTTGGCCTGTTGTGGTTGCCAGGTTGATGGCATTCGCAGGGAACAAACCTCCACGGATTAACCCCCCTCCCTCCAGCCCCCTCCTGCCCAAATACGCCCCTCGCCGAGATGAAATGTTGACATTGCGCCGACGAGTAAACACGCGAGCATCGAGCCACTCGAGGACGCCAAATGGCAATTTCGGCGCCCCTCCCCAATGCGTCAACCCTCACTGCTGATGGATTCCATTCATCCAAAAAAACCTTTGCCGTTGCATCCTCGCCGTTCGGCGTGTTTCTCCCGTGCCATAAAATAATATTGACCGCAGCCTCTAAACTCGCAGCGGTGTTGCTTATTTAACGACATGTTGACATTTTCCAATAGATTGAACGAGTGCTTTCGACAATAATCCGGCGGTAATGCAAAGGAAATGTTTACAGAGGACCCCCCCCCTGTTCACTGCGCTATATGACAAACACACACAAACTTAATTAGACGCTGCTCCACACAAGAGCAAGAAAAAAAATGTAATTATAACAGAGCCTCTTTTTCCCCACTCATTGAAATGCACGTCTATCGAGCATAAAAAAACTGCATCAGTGTCTGACTTGGTTTCAAGCATTGTCTCACGTTGTCTGCCCGTTGACAGCGAGGAGCCCAAAAGAGTCCGTGACCATGTGGCGAACGCTTGATCCGGGATTTGCATGTGCCCTACCAACGGAGGCTTCTAAAAGCTTCATGGCTTTGATTTTATCCACAAAAAAAAAAAAAGACTCAGTGTGTTGTTGTGTTTGGAAAATGTTACTTCCCTGTTTGTTTATTTGTTCTTCAACTACTTGGCCTTCTCTTACAATTATGACATAGCACACTTTTAAAAGCAATGCTTGTTTGTATTTCAAGTAGCCACATTCAGTTTGGTAAAGTGTGCATCAGGGTTGTCCCTTCAATGACGGTTAAAAACGACGTTTTGGATAAAACGTTTGTTTTGTGGGGGTTCTCTTTTGGGGCATACGACCCGACGGAGGCGCAATCGTGACAGTCGGAAGTGAGCTGAGTGACACAATATCTCCTTCGCACCTCCTACTGCAGTGTGGATGAGCCATTTGCGTTGCGTTCAGCGTGGCATTATTGGGTTCAAGGACAAACAATTGTGCCGTAAAAAGAAAAGCTGCTCATGATGAGATTTAAAAACAAAAAAATGTCGAAGGGCTGCATCGCTCTTTGCAGATGAGCTGATAGCATTTGTTTTGGAGGTGTGGCATATTATGAGCAAAGATGAGCTAAGGTGGGTCTCTCTTGAAGTATCCTTGAGGAAGACAGTAAAAGCCACCAGTGTGTCACTGAGCCATTTACTTAGTAAATGTGTCCTGGCCATAACACGTTCAAGGAAAGATGATGTGAGCAGATAATGGGTTTGAATTCCACGTGCTGCCGTCAACTGGGTTGCTGTTCCTCCAGCTTGGGGGTTGGGGGAGCAGGGTCTGTACTTCCAGAGCCATATCATATCCCATCTGACACGATGCTGTCAGCTCGTATTGGAGGCATGCGTTTTACAAGCCAGACCACTCCAAAATTGGCACCACCTTGTCTCGTCCCAGAAGCTAAGCTAGTTTTTAGCCTTGAGCAAGACGCCAAACTCACCAGTGTGTGAATAAAAGTCATTTTCCTTCCAAACAAGTGAGCAAGTGTGTCATGGCCATGACATATTGAAGGGACAACAGTACAAAGATCCTAGTGTAAAAAAAAAAAAAAAAAAAAAGACATTGAAATTGCTGTGTATGTGTGTTTGAGCAGTTGTTGATTTCTTTCTTTTGACCTTCCAATTCGCAAACTGAAGGTAGAGCAAGCAAAGAATTTGATGGCGGGTTGAAAACTGGATTGTCCACTGGAGATGACGAGACAAAAGCGTGTCCTTCTTAGCTTGAACAGTCAAACGAGATGTTTGGCCGATGTGGCTGTCGCTTCCTGTTGGAGTAACTTGTTTGTGTTGAGTCAAAAGGCAGTCGATGTGTTTTCTTGTGCCTCTTTGATGGATACATTTTTTTAAGTACTGAATATGTATGTTTCAGCTTGCTATTTAATTTTGTTAGGTTTTTTTTTTTTTTTGGTTTGCTTTCCCTTTTTATGGACCACAAATAAAAACGAGCACCGGGGCCATATGACCTGAGCTTTCTACCATTTTTACAGTGTGAATGAGGCACTACGAGCACCCTGAAGGTAGAAAGGTGCAATATAAATGCAACCTATTATTGCACTTAGATTGAAGTGCTCAGCAACCCTAAATGATGCCTTCCCCCGCCTGGTTTCTTCCAGTTCCTCCTTTTCATTCCAACCGACATGCGTCAAACTGAAGAAGCTGGCCTCGAAGGTGCTCGACAGCGTCTGCACTCTCAAGTTCAAAACATTCCTGTTAAAAGCCTGAACTCACCGCGTCCGCTCTTTACTGAGGTAGTCTGACGCAGCTCATGAGCTGCAGATGTAACCGCTTCACCGTTGACGGACATCACTCTGCATTTTCCGACGGTTATTTTGAGGGGATGTACGATTCCCAAATGTTATTGGGTTTGTATTGGTGACCGCAAAAAGTTTTTAAGTCATAACACACCACTGATCCGTCTGATCTGTACTTTTTTTTTTTTTTTTTTGCTGCTATTAATACGTCCTGGGTTTGTCCTCACGGAATTTCATATGAAGCAATCAAAAGGGACTTATCCCACTCGGGAACATGACCCACGCTCTCGCTGTTGGTACTCGCAATCCCAAGCCCACCAAAACCCTTTTTTATTTTTATTTTTTTAATTTGAGCCTGCACTCTGCATGCTGACGATGAGAATAAAGGAGGGAAAATGTTTTTGCAATTACAAATTCATCAAAGAAGCCCCCACAATGCTCTCAGTATTTCAGCAAACGCTTTTTTTTTTTTGTTTGTTTGTTTTTTTGCGTCCGCAGTGCATCAAATTAATTGAAAGAGCCCCAAATGACTCCTCTCTGTGCTGCTGGCTCATGTTTTGCATCACACATGGTCCATAAATACGTACGCAAAAGCCCAACATGGACCAACCTTCTTAATAGGAGACTATTTTTTTGTGTGTGTATAATGTGTTTCCGTACTGCAACTGCAATGTAATCATGTCTTTTGTTCCTTGGACTATTTCATTAAATATATGTTTAACATGTTTAATTATGTAATGGGGGAGGGGGGCAACATGAATTGGTTCAAGTGATAACATGCAGAAA